GATCGTTAAAGTCAGATAAAGAGTCTTGGCAATAACAAAGGATTGAGGTTAGGAAATCTATCACATCGATGGCATAGAATAGACGAACACGTAAGTGAGATTAGATATTTTCTACTTTATTACACAAATTCTCTGCTGTAATTCCGCTGTAAAAATACAAATTATTTTCTATATAATTATTTTCTTTTTACAGTATTTGATTAGGTTACTTATTTACCGAGACACTAGTGACTTAATTCTTCTTTAAAACAATTATATCACAATTAATTTAAAAACAAAATGAAAAAAATTTATTTAAATAGAAAAATTTTTTATGTAAAAACACTTCGCGCTGCTAGAACGAATAAGAAAAACAATGGAAACTATCTAAAAGCTATAATAATTAATACAAATATATGTAAGGGTAATGATAATTTATAAATTATAGTAAACATATTCTAAATGCTACATTTAATAAATACAGCTTACTTTTCTTTTTTTATGTATTTCACTCACATATACTGTATGCGAATATGTACATACAGACTGCATACTTTAACTTTCGTAGTTTCTAATCTATTTTATACAAAATGTTACATCCATATATAATTTTATTATGACGTTATTATATTGGGATTGAGATACAATTCACTCGCACATACATATACACGAATATATACACACTAAATACTTTAATTCTCGTGAAAATGTTTCTTATCTTTATTATTGTATTTTATTACATCGAGATCGAGAACTAGCAACGCGAAGTGTTTTTACATAAAAAATTTTTCTATTTAAATAAATCTTTTTCATTTTGTTTTTAAAAATTAATTGCGATATAATTTTTTTAAAGAAGAATTAAATCACTTGGTTTCGAATAGGAAGATCTTTTAATAAGAATACAAAGGCATATACTTAGGTTTCATTGTATGAAGATAAAGATAATTCCACTTAGGTTTTACTTTTTAATTTAGTGGAATTTAAATAATAGTACTATATGGGTTCTTAAAGATTAAAGGTACCACTTGTGTTTTACTCTTTAATTTGGTAAAATTTAACTTGGCGCCGACTGTTGATATCAAATCTTGTATACAAATGATAAATGTCATTAAAATTAAGTAAGTAATAAGGTAGAATAACTTGGCGCCGACTATTGATATCAAATCTTTTATACAAATGATACATGTCATTGATTTAAGTAAATAATAAGGATAATATCACGTAGGTTTTTAAAGATTAGAATTTAACTTGGCGCCGACTATTGATATCAAATCTTTTATACAAATGATACATGTCATTAGAATTAATTAAATAAGGATAATATCACGTAGGTTTTTAAAGATGGTTCTACTAAACAGCAAATGTGATTGGTCAGTTTCACAGTCGATTAAGTAATTGACGTTGATGAAACTGGCCCAAATGGTTTTTTGTCCAGCAGCACCCACTCTTAGCGCTTTTTTCTACCTTTTTTTTAAAAAGGTAAGTTTATATATACATACAAAAGATACATGTCATCAGAATTAAATAAGTATATAAGGTTATATAAACGTTGACACATACAGATTCGTGGGTCATCGAAGTACAGCAGTTCCCGTACGATTGTCAAGGTTAAGCATGCGAGTCATGGTTCGTCTTCGGATGGGTGACCATTTGGGAAGCATCATGAAAAAAAATTAATTCTCGAATTTAGGATAATTTTTCTCCAGGAAAATTTTTTTTTTTTTCACAATTTTATTCTAAAAAATTGATGCTAATTAGTAATACTTATTTTAACAATCTAACAGTAATTAGAGAAAACTGACCTTTTTTACGAGGGACTATTGACCAATAGTAACTATTGGCCAACAGTACTAACTATTGGCCAAATTACTATTGACCAAATGGTCAATTTTTCAATTTTTCCATTTTTTTTTCCAACAAATTTCACCATTTACCAATAGTTTTTTTCCGTAAGGGGTAAGTAACTTTATATTGATAATAAATAATACATGCGAGAGAATTAAAGAAGATGCTTGATAAAATTTTTGTGCGTAGTCTACATTGGGCATTGCAGTAGCATAGGATGGGAAAATAGGCGTAGAAATCAATCAATCATAGTCGAATGTGAGGAGGATAATCAACTATGGTTGGTCGATTTCTACGCCTACTCCTTTCCATTATTGCTACTGCTTAGTGTAGATCATGCATTACATATCCTGCATAAAAATTAAATATTTCATATTCATGGCCTCTGAAATGTATCATTTGAAATGTTAGAGCCAGCGCACAATAGAGGAAATATTATATAGGAATAAGAGTTAAATATAAGATTCGTCTTGAATAAAGCTCACGAAGATAAAATGAACTGATGAGATATTAAGCCAATAAGAGCTGACACAGATTGGACGAGTGTATCTTCATATATTTTATTTCCATAAAATTGTGATAAACGTTTCAACCCTACACAGTTTGGGTCATCAGTATAAAAAGAATTAGAGATTGTTTCTTTGTGCATTAGACATCCTTATATTAAATATAAGAATTTCAACTTATCAGAAGCTGTACATTCTGTAGTGCACAGTTTTTGATAGATTGAAGTTCTTATATTTGATTCTTGTGTTCCTAATATTTCCTGTGTTTTAGAATTTATATACGGAGTTCCAAATTAATCAATTAAATAAATTGCAGGTAAACAATAAAACAAGCACTTCAAAATATGCAAAAAAAGAAAACCTGTATAACAAACAAAAAGAAATATTGAAACGTTGCCAGGAAATCAAAAAAACAAATATGTATATAATTTTGTTTTATAAAAAATATCCATGATTTAATTAAAACAAGGATATGTACCGAAACAACGATTACAAGAATATTAACGAAACTTTTGATAAACTTATGTTATTAAGGGTACCCTTCGGGTCTTTTTAACGTTTTTTCAAGAATTTTTTTTTCATAGTAAAATGTATTTAAATTCTTCGCACTTTTTACACATTATTAATGTTACAAATGAGTATGTAAAAAAATTTTTTTTTAATTTTTCGCGCACGTGCGCCGTCAAAATGGTGGCTTCAGTGGTTGGTCGTAAAAATCTGGTGGACGTGATATCTCCAGTTCGAAACGCTTGAAATAAAAAATCCAAACAGATTCTTAAAATACATGTTCGTGACTATAGCCGGTAGTAAAATTAAACGTTTTAAACGTAAAAAAACAAAATGGCGACGTTTTGAATTTATTTACCCCTTTTTCACCCGTAAAATGATAAAAAATAGGGGTTAAAAATCAACGAAAAATAATGATTTTACTACGGGCTAAAACTACACATGTTCTGAACAATCCCTGAAAATTTCAGCCCGATCGGTTAAATAGTTTTTACAAAATCGTGTCCACCAGCTCGAAAAACCTTGTTTTGAGGAAAACGCGTTTAAAGTTTTTGTTCGCATAATCGTTTAGTATAATCATGAAAAAAAGTGTCTTACGCTCAATCAGCGATGCCAGCTCCATACATAATGCCTTCGGTTTCTTCGTAGAACTCGTTTTGAAACTCGTTTTTGGTATATTTGAAAATTCGAATTTTTCGAAAAAAATAGACCCGAAGGGTACCCTTAAAAATCACGAATTCGACATTGGTATAACTTTCATTAATAAAACTCGCAAAATAAACGTACACTGTAAATAACAACGTAATTTTCTATATTTGGTTTATATGATATCTAGTAATGTATAATATTTTAAATCCGTAACATTATTTCCATAACACTAATATTTTATTTTGTTAATGATTGCACTTTACAGTAATGTAACAAAATCTGAAATTGTCATGGTATAGTTTTATTACAGATCCCTGATTCAAAACAATTTAAAATAAAATAGACAAAGTATTCGAAAAATCGTCTACTTTGTGCGTGCGTGCGTGCGTGCGTGCGTGAGGAGAGATTCGACGGGACATAATAAACATAAACAGGTATTTAAAATGGAATTAAATAAGAAGAAGGTCCTGAATTCATGCTGAAGGTGGTCATTTTGAATATCTTATTTAATTCGATTCAAATATCTGTTATATTAATTATCATGATTAGTTAAAATTTTCGAATTCTTTGATCTACAATAAGCAAGCATAATTGTTTTGTGCGACACTGCATCACCTTGTATTATACAACATTTACAACATTTATAACATTTTTTAAAATTTATTTTACATTTTTTTACAAATTTTAGATGATTTAGGCGAAAAATTATCCGAAAGAGATGTATTAAAAGAATTATATCTCTTTTGCGAGAAAAAAACAGAAAGCTCGAAGAAGACAACAAAAAATTGAGAACATTGAGAGCTGTTAATGAAGGTATATTTTACATATTTGCATTGTTTCATAATACGTATGAACATTACAATTATAGATTATAGACTTTATTAATATAATATTAACAGTTGTATAACAAACGGCGAATGCCGCCACGAGCATGTGCCCGTCACACGTGCCACCGGAGTAATCCTGATCGGTAGCGATGCGATCGAGACAAGCAAGTTGGCTTTCTCTTATTTCTAATTAACTTTGTGACCGTACACCGGGATACAAAAATGCGTTGTTATGCGAAGGAAGTCACACGTCGAATTGCTCTCGAATATTCTCGTTGTTTCGTAGCGGAAAGCGAACTCGTGCTCCCCCTGTGCGTACACGAGAGCTCTGTACGCCCTCTCCAATGATACGTGTCGCGCCGAAAGCAATTAGGCATGCGATCATGACGCGAGACCGTGCATGCCGCGAATACAATCCTCGCGGACGGTGACTGATACATGAAATAAATGATGAACGTTTGACTAATTATTATACAACGCCGCCGCCCTTGAAAGGCTCCGCTTTCAAAATGTGAACGAAAGGTGAAACAACCTTTGAAACGAATTAACGTTGAGAGTTGACAAAATGCGCGACGCTGCATGCTTGATATGTGCAAACGCAAACAATTTCGATGTGCTTAACCTAAGTTGAGTATGATAACATGATAACGTTGCGCGAAAACAAAAACATATTTGATGTCTAGCGTTTCTCGCTGGAGTCATCTATAGGTAATATCGCTATTCTAGTTAACGGTCTTGTAAGAATGCCCTTTGCTGTTTTTATCTCAGCGGTTCTTACAACGCCGTCTGTGCCTGGATGAACGCCTTGTACGCGCCCTAACAGCCAATGCAGAGGGTGTAACCCCTGCTGTTTTATTAATACGACTTGACCGATCTTTAATTGATCCCCCTTGCTAATCTTCCACTTGGAACGCGCTTGTAAGGTGTGGAGGTATTCTGAACTCCATCGTCGCCAGAAATGTTGCCTTAATTGTTCTACGCGTTGCCAACGAACGAGCCTATTTTCGCTTATGTTGCTCAAGTCGTGGCAAGGAAAACTGTCTACGGTAGTGCCGATTAGAAAATGTCCGGGGCTCAAATAAGCGAGGTCATTTGGGTCTTCGCTCAATGGAGCGATGGGCCGTGAATTTAGTATCGTTTCTATATCGCATAAAATAGTCTGCATCTCTTCGAAAGTTAGATGAGCATTACCGATTATACGATACAAATGGAATTTTGCCGATTTTATCGCGGCTTCCCAGAGTCCTCCACAATGTGGAGCGTTGGGTGGTATAAAGTCCCATGTTATCCGCTGTTCGCGCAAAAATGACTGGATTTCATTTTGTATGCACTCTTTTTCAAGAAAATTAGAGAATTCGCGCAAACGATGACGGGAACCTACGAAAGTAGTGCCATTGTCTGACCACATGTGGGAAGGCTTTCCTCTGCGCGATATAAACCTTTTGAAGGCTGCTAAAAACGTGTCGGTGGTTAAATCACTGACTAGTTCTATGTGTACCGCTTTGGTAGCGAAGCATACGAACATGGCGATGTATGCCTTGTGAGTATGCGCGTTTCTGCGTTTTCCCTCTCGCAGAGTTAACGGACCGGCGTAATCCACGCCGCAATACGAGAATGGTCGGGAAACAGTGATGCGACTAGGAGGTAAGGAGCTCATAATGGTTTCTGAATGAACAGGCTTAACCTTGAAACATTTAACGCACCTTAAAATGATTTTTCGTGTTAGAGATCGCAATGATAAAGGCCAAAATTGCTGTCGGACGGCGGCCATCGTTGCCTGGGTGCCGGCATGTAAGCTACGTACATGCGCTTGCGTGATGATTCGTCTTGATAGCTCGTGATTTTTCGGTAGCAGCACCGGGTGACGCGCGTCCTGTGTTAGATTTGAATGCCTTAATCGACCTCCAACTTTAATTAATCCATCGTCGAGAAATGGATTGAGTGTCAAAATCCCACTGGATGTACTGAGGCTCTTGTTGCTGCTCAAGGCCTTGTACTCCTCGGGAAATGAAAGCTGTTGCACAACCTTGCACATTAGTTGCAATGCTGCCGCGGTTTCTTCGTGGGAGACAAAGTGTGTTGTAATGCCCGCAGGTCTTCGTAAGAACCTCAAGCAATATGCCACACAGGCTCTGTCAAGGTTTGAATGCTTGTTGAGTGTGTCTTCTATGACACTGGTGTCAACGACTGCAATGTTAACGTATATTTTTCGAAGTTCGGAGGTGTCCTCCTGACGTAGAAATTGATTGGTGGGCCAGAGATTCTCATTGTGTTGCAGAAAGTCGGGACCCTTCCACCAAGTGGTTGCATGAATTAAATCGCTTGGATTTGAACCTCGTGAAAGTAAGTCGGCTGGATTTTGACCGGACGGTACGTGTCGCCAATCCGTCGCTTGAGTCAACCGTTGAATTTCTCCTATGCGGTTTGCAACGAAAACTGAAAACATGCGTGATTCTGAGGATATCCAGCTCAATGTAATTGTTGAATCCGACCTTGTCCATCAGCCGTGCCAGCAGAAGCGCTGCAGATAGTTCCAACCTTGGCAATGATACAGCCTTCAACGGCGCGATCCTTGATTTGGAGCAAAGAAGTTCTGAACGATACTTGTTCGCATCGAGCTCAGTCCGTATGTACACGCAGGCTCCATATGCATTTTGACTGGCATCACAGAAGCCATGTATTTGTATATGTCGACGTTCAATGCTGTATTTGACGCGTCTGGGAATTGCTAGTCGGTTGAGCTCCGTCAACTGCGACTTGAAGGTAATCCATCGTGCGTGTAAGTTCTGAGGAACTGACTCGTCCCAATCGATGCCTGCTCGCCAGAGATCTTGTAGTATCAACTTGGCGATGACGATGATTGGACCAAGTAAGCCTAACGGATCGTATAATTTGGAAACGTCCGATAGAATTTTCCGTTTTGAAATTGCGTCATGTGACATGACCGGGTCGTATGAAAAATGTAGCGTGTCTGTGTCGGCGTTCCATTTGATCCCCAAGATGTGGGCGCTTTTGTCGTTGTCGATGACAACGGGTTTGTCATTTTTATTGAGTGTTGCGTCCAGCAATTCCAGGGTGTTGGAAACCCATTTTCCAAGCTCAAATGCGCCTAGCCTTAATAGTTCGATCGTTTCATCTCGAAGAGTCTCCGCTTCTTGGACGGTGTCTGCACCGGTTAGTAGATCGTCGACGTAGAAGTCGCGCCTTATACACGCTGATCCAATGGGAAACGTGGATGAGTGATGATCGGCTAGATGTTTGATGCACCTGGTTGTGAGAAAAGAAACCGATGACATGCCATAGGTCACTGTCATCAGTTCGTATGTCTTGATGTCCGCCTTGGAGTCGCTGCGCCACAAAATTCTTTGAAGAGATGTTTGCGAATGGTGTATGAGCACCTGTCGGTACATTTTTATGATGTCTGCGATCAAAGCGTGAACGAAAGTGCGGAATCGCATCACGATTGACATCAAATCTTGCTGCACCACTGGGCCGACTCTCAAAACGTCGTTTAATGATAATCCTGTGTCGCTCTTACTTGAAGCGTCGAAAACGACACGAATCTTGGATGATTGTTTAGCGCCCTTGAAGACGCCATGATGAGGCAAGTAGAAAGATGCTGTATCCTCAAGTGGGGACAATCTGACTTCCTTCATGTGTCCTAGCTTTAAATATTCGTCCATAAAGTGGACATATTGGTCCCTTAAGTTGGGATTTCGTATGAACCGACGCTCTGTTCCTTGTAAGCGTCTTAATGCGATGTCCCTTGTGCTGCCAAGGTTACCGATTAACTCTTCCTTGATTGGAAGTTTTATTATGTATCTGCCCTGTTCGTTCTGGTCCACGTTAGCTTCGAAATGCTCCTCGCAGTAAGCATCGTCCTTGTTGTTTACGACTTGATTGTCGAGATGTTCAATTTGCCAGAACCGTGTTAGTTGATCGTGCAGTTGAGCATTGGATATGACTGTGGTGAATGCTCGCACGTTTTCTGCAGGCGCCGCTGTGATGCTGCGACGTCCAGCCAGAATCCATCCTAGTCTCGTTTTTTGTAGAGTTGGATGGCTGTGAGTGGCCTCGATTTGTCCTATGCAAAGTAGCTCCCAAAATATTTCTGCTCCGATCAAAATGTCGACCTTGGAGGAAACGTTGAAATGGGGGTCCGCTAGCTTGAGGTTTCGAGGAATGTTGTAGTTTCTACGCCTTGAAGTAGTCAATGGAAGCTTCTCGGTTATCCGCTCTGTTACTATGCAGTCTATCGTCCTACAATAAGAATTTAATCTGGATTGCAGTGTTACCTTGGTTGCCATTGTAGCATTTGATGAGGTACTGTTGACACCAGATATTGTGACGTTTAGCGGGCGTAGTGGTAAACCAAGAGTTGCGGCGAGTTGTCTAGAAATGAAACTTGCTTGAGATCCTGAATCTAGTAAAGCTCGACATGAATGTGATGTGCCATCGGAGGCTATGACATTGACCACAGCTGTGGAAAGCATTATGTGATCTTTGCCTTGAATGTTCGACGAATGTGTCGTCACGGCTGTCCTGGAATTTTGTATGCTTGATTCCCCTGTGCCGGAAGTGCCGGAATGATCCTCCGCCGAGCTGGTGCTCGTATGCAACAACGTATTGTGTTTGATATTGCAAATTTTGCAACCTCTAGATGTGTATTTGTCCAATGAATGCATCGGAGAGCGGAGACAGTTGACGCATAGTTTGCGATTGCGTACCTCTACCGCCCGTTGCTTGATTGGCAGTGCCAAAAACTCCTTGCAATAATACATGGGATGCTTGCCCTTGCAATAGTTGCACTTGGATTTGACTGTTGCTGTACATGTAGATTGTCGTTTTGCGTTGGTTTGTGAATTTTTGTTGGTGTCCTTGGAAGCGAGACTGACCTTGTTTGACCTCTAACACCAAACAATGTTGAGAAATAAAATCGTTAAATTGTTTAAATGTGGGAGTTTCAGTAACTTAAATTGTTTAAATGTGGGAGTTTCAGTACCTGTTACAGAGGACTGCCATTCTCGTAATGTACGTGGATCGAATTTTGAGGTTAGAATGTATACTAACAGATCGTCCCAGTGCGCCGTGGGACATTTAAGTGCCTTGAGGGCTTGAACATGTCGGATTGCCCCGTCCGCGATTCGACGCAGCTCGGTTGAATCTTCCTTGGTGAGCGAGGGTAAATCTAATATTGCTTTAATGTGCGTGTGAACGATCATTCGTCTGTTATCATAACGTTCCTTTAAAATATCCCATGCTATTTGATAATTTGCGGCGGAAATTTCTAATGCACTGATTACGCCACTCGCGTCACCGGTAAGTGTAGACTTTAAGTATTGTAACTTTTGTACGTCACTGATTGACGCGTTTGAATGTATAATTGAATTAAATGAATCGTAGAATGGAAACCATTCATCGTATTTGCCGGAAAACGTTGGAAGATTCAACTTGGGCAATCTAACACTGCAATGATTTTCCGATCGATTGAATGCGCTCGACGTAGACGGTGAATACGGTTGTGTCGGTTGCGCCCGCGGAGCTGATAATGGATTAAGAAGTTCGCGAATCTTTGCGCAAAGCGAATAATACGCTTCCTCGAAGCCGATCCGGTCATTGCCCTCATTTTCGTCAAGCAATTCTATCTCCGCTTGTATTGCGTTGTATTGTGACCAATATTCGTCTAACTTGATTCTACGTTTTTCAAGCTGAGCAGCAATAGCAGGAGTGGCAAAAGAAATCGCGTCGATATATGTGTGAATCCGCGTGCACGCGCCTTTAACGATCGCTCTATGTTTTTTGAGCACACTGATATCTTGCGCAGACGTCATCGCGAGCTAACCTACTTAAAACAGACGTAACAAGGAACTTCGTCGGCACTACCGCGAACAGTTTTCCTTACCGGTACTGTGCAGCCGCGCTTTTGTTGACGACTTCCGGTGGCGACCTCCTCGTGGAAGCGGCCTTGAATGTGCTGTCCTCGGCGTGCCTCTGAATGATGGTGGCAGCTGACGATGAGAATGCAATGCTGTCCTCGGCGTGTCTCTGAATGATGGTGGCAGCTGACGATGAGAATGCAGCTCGTGGTCCGTAGCTCTAACACCTTGAGGTTATGAGCCGCGCTCGAGCGTTGAGATGAGTAGAGGATAGCGGGGGGTTTCGTCCCTCAGAGACGGAATGCCTTCCCCTCGCACGAAGTTCCGCCGTTGTCGACGGGATTCCTTCCTGCTTCCCCTTGGATGAAGTTCCGCCGTTGTCGGCGGGATACCTTCCTTCCTTGGCGATGAAAGTTCCGCTTATTGATGGTTGTATCTCCAGTGAACGCGGATGACTTAGAGTATCCGGCTCGAAGGACCAAAAACACGATGTGTAACAAACGGCGAATGCCGCCACGAGCATGTGCCCGTCACACGTGCCACCGAAGTAATCCTGATCGGTAGCGATGCGGTCGAAACAAGCAAGTTGGCTTTCTCTTATTTCTAATTAACTTTGTGACCGTACACCGGGATACAAAAATGCGTTGTTATGCGAAGGAAGTCACACGTCGAATTGCTCTCGAATATTCTCGTTGTTTCGTAGCGGAAAGCGAACTCGTGCTCCCCCTGTGCGTACACGAGAGCTCTGTACGCCCTCTCCAATGATACGTGTCGCGCCGAAAGCAATTAGGCATACGATCATGACGCGAGACCGTGCATGCCGCGAATACAATCCTCGCGGACGGTGACTGATACATGAAATAAATGATGAACGTTTGACTAATTATTATACAACAATACTTATATTTCTAGATCTATCCAATATACAACATATGAGCAAGCGTGTTAAAAAAAGATTTGCAAGAGATGAAGGACATAATGTACGAAATGTACATAAATAATAACACAAAAATAAGAAGTAAAATTAATTGCGAAAATGTACCGGTGTCTCAATTAAAAAATGATGATAGTAATACTAATGAAGAAAATTTGAACACTTTAACGGTCAATCCATTGCGGATTGAAATTATAACTGACGAGAAATTCTGCGATAATTTTGATGGGGTTGAATTCAGAAAGAATGCAGACATAATAATTGATACTGATTTAGATACGTCTACCCCCCGAAAGGGTTCCTACTTTGAAGTAGTCGCGGGGCGGAGGCCCGCGGGTCGCGGCACGCCTGGGGTACCCGTGGTCCGCACTCCCCGCGGTGAATGACACGAGGCCCACATTTAACCTGCGAAAGCAGGTACGGGGCCTCGAGGTAGAAAAACCGACGGGGAGAAATTTGACCACATCCAGGTACCCCTGGCGTTCTCGGGGGCTGCGGGCTCCCGTGCCGGAGCGGATGGTGGGGCTTATGGTCGCAAACGGGGTTCTCCCGCTCAGGGGGGGGGGCACGTGGGCGGCCAACAAAGAGGAACCCCTCAAGCTAGGGTGTGAGCTACCGTGCCTGGAGCTGCATGGCGCAGGGGGAGCTGCGTCGCAAACGGTGCCTCCTGGATACCGGGCGAACTCCAGGAGTACGGAGCTAAGCCCCGGGCATTCGCGGCTCTGCCCGGGTGAGATCGCGCGACCGCGGTACTCGTGGGATCAATATGGAGACCAATAACAAAACAAACTTTAACAAAGTCCTCCAGGGGGTGGCTTCCCTAGGAAGCGAACAACCGGAGGAGAACAAAGTAGCAAGTGCGGGTCTACCTAAGACCCGCATTCGCTACAGCGGGGCTGCAAGGCGCAGCTACAATAAGGAGAAGGCGTGGGCTGAGAAAGCCATCTCTCTTTCTCCTACAAACACCCCTACTCCGCCGGGCGGGGAGAGTGGTGCGACGGTGGAAACGCAGAAGCGTGCCAGACCGGTGCACCAAACGCCCAGTCCGACGGAGAATCGCCCAGGAAAGAGACCCAAGGTCACTGACCAAGGGTCGTATGCCCAGGCGATTAAGGGCATGAACAGGATGGCCTTCGTTCCAGAAGGCTATCCTGAGAAAAAACTAGATGCCAGTGAGGTGGAGGAGATCAGGCGACTGGTCAGGAGGCACATCCTCGAACTTCCCGAGGATGGGCTAGCGCCCACCTTCACTGGCACCTGGGAGAGGGATGGCGCAGTTATTTTTAGCAGCGCCAACCAGCAGACGGTGGATTGGCTGAAAAGCCTTTCCACCGTGATTAAGATCGGAAGCACTGCTCTGCATGTGCTGCCGGCCGGGAAGCTACCTAAGCGCCATCGGGTGGTGGTGCATGTGGAGGAGTCGGATTTGGCTGTCGAGGAAGCTATAAAGCTTCTCGACAGACAAAACACGGGTCTGGGCGCCAGAGAGTGGGTCGTCGTGAGGGGGAGCGCAAGTAGGGACGCGAAAAGCGCCCACTTCGCTGCTCTGATCGGTGATCGCTCGCTGGAGGTCCTAAAGACCTGTGGTTTTAAACCCTTCTGCGGGCTGGGTCGGGCAACCGTAAAGTTGCTTGATAAAGAATGCGAGGAGGGAATGACTGCCGGTGCGAGCGGGTAAGCTTAGAAATGGCGGGACTCGGTGTACCAATAGTCCAAATTAACTTGCATCACAGCAAAGGCGCCTCGGCGATTTTAGCTAGGAGCATGGCTGTGATGCAGACAGCAATAGCAATAATTCAGGAGCCTTGGCTCCTGAATAACGCTATAATGGGTCTGAGTGGCTGTGGTACTATCTATAAAGCAGACACTCAGAACAAAATTAGGACCTATATTGTAACTAAGGGACTTAATGCTATTTTTATGTCACAGCTCAGCGACGGAGACACCACTGTTATACGGACAAGGGTGGACTACGACGAGGACAAGTTCTTGGATCTACTCATAGGGTCAGCTTACATGCCCTATGACTCCCAAGAAGAACCACCACCTAGAAAAGTAAGAGAACTGGTGTCCTACGCGAAGGAGAGGGGGCTTGAACTCCTATTGGGCTGTGATGTAAACTCCCACCATATAGGGTAGAGGAGCACGAACATAAACCCGAGGGGAGAGAGCCTCCATAAATTCATTATGGACGCCAGTCTGATGATCCTAAACAGAGGAACGGTACTCACCTTCATGGACTGCAGAAGACAAGAAGTATTAGACATCACCATCAGTACTGGGGGAGTGGCGGACCTGGTGCGGGACTGGAGAGTCTCTGGGGAGCCCTCGGGCTCTGACCACAGGCAGGTTCGCTACAGTCTCAGATATATGGTGAATAAAGAATGGGGTCGAAACCCAAGGACTAAAAACTGAGAAGGCTATAGGATGGACCTGGAGGCTATCCTGAAGAAAGCTCCGAACAGATTTCACTCAGAAGAAAATCTTGAATACGCGGCGCAATTTGTAAGTGACGCGATAAAAGAAGCCTATGAAGGAAATTGCCTGGAGAGACCGAAATACTCTACAACCAAAACTCCCTGGTGGAGCAAGGAGCTGTCAAAGCACAGGTTGGAAGTAAGAAGACTCTTCAATAAAGCAAGGAGGAAGAACTCAACAGCCGAATGGAAAGCGTATAGAAACGCCCAACACGGCAAAGCAATAATCATTGCCAAAAGAAAAAGCTGGAAAGATTTCTATAAAAGCATTGAGAGCGCTTCAGAAGCATCCAGGCTAAACAGAATCCTCAACAAAGACAATACCCTACGATTGGGATGTCTTAAACTCCCAAACGGAGATTATACCGAGACAGTAGAGGGAAGTTTAAAACACCTCATGTCTACACACTTCCCAGGGTTTCAGGAAAGACACTGTGAACCTCAACAGGAAGTCAAGAAACCCAGGGAAAAACATAAACCAAGAGAATGGACACTGGCAGCTAAGGTGGTGACTCCTGAGGGAGTTGAATGGGCTATCAAGACCTTCGGACCATATAAGACTCCAGGACCAGACGGCATCTACCCTGTTCTACTCAGGGAGGGTAGAAAGGCCCTAGTAGGCCCCCTGACGAAAGTGCTCAGGGCTAGCATAGCACTGAGACACGTTCCGAAAGCCTGGAGCGATACCAGAGTGGTATTTATACCAAAACCAGGTAAAAATGGCCATGTGATGGCCAAGGATTACAGACCTATCAGCCTCACATCCTTCATTTTAAAGATGTTGGAGAGGCTTATTGATGGGTATCTGAAAAATTTCTACCTTATTGCAAAGCCGCTGAACCCATCCCAGTACGCCTATAGGGAAGGCAGATCTACGGATACTGCCCTGCATCACCTTGAGCGGAGTTGAAGTACAGATGGCTGCAAAAGGATATGCAATAGGTGTCTTTATTGACATTGAGGGGGCTTTTGATAGCACCTCAAATACGTCGATTAAAGACGCCATGAACAGATTTAACATTCCAGAATCGCTGATCGACTGGACACAAA